TGTTATTTAATTGATATAATAATTTATTGATAATAATTGTTTAAATTAATATAGTAGTTAATACTTTTGACTCATCTATTTTCTTAAAAATGGTTTAAAGGCTGAAATGTAAAGTTTATCATTTTATAAAACTTTGTTTTTGTGAAAACTTGTATCTAAACCAAGTTATGCTTTTTACAGTAATTTTACAATTTAATATGGTACTATAGACATTGCCCTACCCCGCTCATATGGTATTAATTTTAGTTGTGGAGGTCTTAAAAAGGTCTTAAATTTGAGCTTAAAAATCATGCAGAAACCCTGTAAGGAACTGGTTTTAAGAGGAATCAGAACACGTGTTATATTATATTCCCATTTCTACTTCAAACTCAGCTGTGTTGTGCTGCAGGGTGAGTTTGGTGTGTACCTGGTATCTGACGGTTCCAGCAGACCTTACCGCTGCAAGATCAAGGCGCCTGGCTTTGCCCACTTGGTAATTAATTCATTTTACTATTATGATTTAGTTATTGTTAATGTATTCACCAATTATAAAATAAGCTTTTCAGAAATTTTAGGTCAATAAGGTGTGTTTTTGAAAGAAGATTCTTACGCTCCACAAGGCTGCATATATTTGATCAAAAATACAGTAGAAACAATGATATTGTAAAAATGTATTTTTAAAATTTAATTTATTCCTGTGACGGCAAAGCAGTCTTTATTGTTTACATGATACTTCAGAAATCATTCTAATACTCTTTAATACTATTCTTGATGCTCAAGAAGCATTTCCTATAATTATCAATGTTGAAAACAGTTGTGCTGCATAATATTTTTGTGGAAACCACGATACATTTTTTTTCAGGATTCTTAGATTAATGCACAATGCAAACAAAAAAAACAAAAGCATTTATTTTAAATAATTTTTTGAACATTATAAATAGCATGAGTGTCATTCTTGATCGTTTTAATGCTAAATAAAAGTATCCATTTCTTTTTAAAAAAGAACTACAACTTTTGAACGGTAGTGTATGTAGAACGGCTGCAAATACGGCAGGCTTTATCTTTGACCTCTTCCTATTTGTGTTGTGGTGTTGCTCAATGATGTGGTCTGTTTTGTCCTGTTTTTAGGCTGGTTTAGATCAAATGTCTAAAGGACACATGCTTGCTGACGTGGTGGCAATCATCGGTAAGTCTCTCTCTCATTGATGCACATCTCAGTTCGGTCTGTTTTGTAGATTTGCATATCACAGCAATGAACTGCACATTTGTTTGAAGTATTACATTTAAATAAGAGGCCAGTAGCACAATTATATCATAAAATCTTCTCTGTTTTCAATAATTCCCTGTTCTTCTAACTTGTACTGTTCTAAACAATGAATGAAGCTTAGTATTGTTAAGCAGCAAAGCAGCAAAATGTGATTATTTTAAAGGGGGTGATTCTTTTCTATACCCACTGTAAACAGTATTTTCTAGTAAAACATACTCCAATAATCTGCTTTATTTATAACTTATAAAAATATTTTTGACAGTTTATATAATCTTTAATGAATCATTAGTTAATGAACATTTTATATTGTTACAAATGGCATGAAACCTTCATTCATATATTTTCATATACATGTCTGAATATCTGTTCTGATCCGATTTATATCTACCATCTGCTCTGTGATTGATAGTTTATACTTTTTTATGTGTTTTTCTAGTGCTGTCAAACAATTAATCGCATCCAAAATAAAAGTTTTTGTTTACATAATATATGTGTGTGTACTTTGTATATGTATTATGTATATATAAATACACATAGAGTATATATTTTCTAAATATATTCTGTATGTGTGTGTACTGTGTATATATCTAAATACACACATATACAGTATATATTTTGAAAATATTTACCTGTATTTACATGTATATATTTATATTCATATAATTTATATTATATATATATATATATATATTTGTGTTGTGGTGTTGCTCAATGATGTGGTCTGTTTTGTCCTGTTTTTAGGCTGGTTTAGATCAAATGTCTAAAGGACACATGCTTGCTGACGTGGTGGCAATCATCGGTAAGTTTCTCTCTCATTGATACACATCTCAGTTCGGTCTGTTTTGTAGATTTGCATATAACAGCAATGAACTGCACATTTGTTTGAAGTATTATATTTAAATAAGAGGCCAGTAGCTCTATTATATCATAAAATCTTCTCTGTTTTCAATAATTCCCTGTTCTTCTAACTTGTACTGTTCTAAACAATGAATGAAGCTTAGTATTGTTAAGCAGCAAAGCAGCAAAATGTGATTATTTTAAAGGGGGGGGACATCCAAAATAAAAGTTTTTGTTTACATAATATATGTGTGTGTACTTTGTATATGTATTATGTATATATAAATACACATACAGTATATATTTTCTAAATATATTCTGTATATGTGTGTGTACTGTGTATATATCTAAATACACACATATACAGTATAGAGTATATATTTTCTAAATATATTCTGTATGTGTGTGTACTGTGTATATATCTAAATACACACATATACAGTATATATTTTGAAAATATTTACCTGTATTTACATGTATATATTTATATTCATATAATTTATATTATATATATATATATATATATTAGGGCTGCACGATTTATCGAAATATCGCAAATGTAAATATCGCAATATGCATATCGCAAGGGCGTGCGATATCTGAATCATTTTGATAATACGCTACTTAAATCAAAATGTTGCAAAAGGTCAAAGTTTTAGTTCAAAGTTTAGTTGCAGAAAACAACTCTTTGCAGTCTTGTCTTGCTGTCTGACAGACTCACACCTGAAGCACGCGCACAAGCTGCATCTCGCGCATCGTCTCTTCAGTTCTGCCGCACTCGTGCAAAGCACGCGCGCACACACAGAGACACATTTCAGACAGCGCACGAACACCAAGTTGATTCGTCTTTCGCATCTCCTCATGTTTGAACAGACACATACTCACAGAATTATGTCAGTAGTACCCGTCTGGACGATCATTCTCGTAAACGCAGTCGGTTATGTTTTAAATAATAATAATAATAATAATTATTGAATGAATTATATAAATGAATGTAAACAGCTGAGAAAGAAATCGTATGTGTATCATTATACTGGAGTCGTGCAGTCGGATTTAAAGGGACAGCAGCCTGTAAATACGTGCTGCTGAATATGTCACTAATATTAATCAAACAACAAAACAGCTATAACAAAGATTCATCTCAATTTAATTCATACAGTGAACACTATGCAGTGTTATTTTACACTTAATTATTAAATTTCTGTGCCTGAATACTACTGTTTATTTTATCTATGCTTGTAAATTGTGTATTTCTTTTTTTTCTTTTTCTTTCTTTTTTTATACTGACTGTTCACGTGCCTTTAATCATGTTTGAACTTTCTCAGACTATAGTTTTTGCTGTGGTATATGAAGAAGTACTTAACGTGTATGGAAAGCAAAGTTACAATGATATAAAATTAGGGTCCTTCATTTTTTTATTTATATATACATAAATATACACAGTACACACACATATTACATAAACAAAAACTTTTATTTTGGATGCGATTAATCGCAGCACTAGTTTTTTCCCTCCTTGAACATGAGCTCCATGTTCTATATTTTACCATATGAGTCATAAAAGTCTGATGTATCAAATATGATACTCAGCAAAAACACATGCAGATTTATTATTATTATTAATAGATTGTCTAAAGGGTCAATGAACTCTTCCATTTCAAAAAAATTAGATTTTTCAGACTATTTTATTTTGTCAGGCTTTACAAGGTTAATACTGTGTGAAAATCTCTGAAAATGAATCTGACATAGGAGAAAATATATATTTTTTTAAAAATTAATGTTTAGTGTTTTATTAGCAATTTGATGTTTTATTAGCCCTGAGCCTCAACCTGTTGTCTTTTTCCACAGGTACTCAGGACATCGTGTTTGGGGAAGTGGACCGTTAAGGACACCAGTGTCTGATCATGATTCTGTCTTTGAGATCCATTCTAGTGATGCTATGACAGAAGTTACTCTAATTTCTCTATTTAAATGCTTATGAAACCGAATAAATATTTTAAAACCTGGAAAAAGCTCAAATTCTGTTTATTTAACATTACAAGAGCTGGTCGTAAAAGTGCGAACTTGCACGTAGATTTCATGCAGGCAATTTTTTTATTTATATATATGTATATATTAATATATTAACTATGCTGAATCAGCATTTCCAAGGATCAGCGGTCTAAAGCAGATCACATGATTTTCGGCCCTTTTTCCTCTTCGTCACTCAGGGTGGGGGAGGTTTAAACTTCAGATCTGACATATTTTCACCACAACTTCCCTCTTGTCTGCCTCTGATGTGCAGTTTTACATCTGTTCACTGAAAGTCGTTTTTGGAGGTGTGCATCCCGTGAGGTTGTACGCAGAAGCAAAGCCAAGTTTTGATGATGATGATGATGAAGGTGGGGTTGCCCTTCTCTCTTCTTTCTATTTGGCTCAGCTTCGGCAGTGCTGGTAAGTGTTAAATGTTAGCGCTCTATCTCAAGCGAACGCTGTGTTTTGCGTGCTGTTACGTTGATACTAAAGTTACAGGTTTGCATTTACATTTTTTTCAACTCATTTAGGTTTTCAACTTCAACTCTAAGCTGCTTTTTCATCTTGAAAATATACTGAATAAGTTTAATAATTTTGAAAATGGCAATTAACGATTGTAAATGTATTAGGTTGACTTTCCCTCTTTAGGGAAGGCCTGACGGCTATTCCAATTTTTTTATTTTTTATGGTATGTAACAAACTAAAACCTTGCGAGAACAGTGGAAATGTATCTTTTCATTTATTTATTTAACATTTTATTTATTTTTCGTTTTCAGTAGTCATTTTGTCTGCTAAACGTGAAGATTAACACATTATGCTTCCTCAGAACTTTGTTTTTGTTCATAAATTATGAAATAATGTCACTAGGAATGTGCGCTCTGATCACATCTTGAATATGGAAGTATGCCGGGATTTTATAAAAGGTTATGTATTTTGAAAAAGCTTATAAAATGAAGCAAGGGATGTTTAAAAATCCAATGCGCATCTATGTAAATGTTACAATCCAGCAATCATAAAAGTCTGAAGTGAGCGCCTTGGTTAGTCAACATCTATATAAAGTTCACTTTTCACATTTCTTGTTTTCACAGTCCTTATATCTGAACTTTGATGTTGGAAACTTTGTTGCCAGGAAGTAGCCTCTTCTCATTCTGTCCACAAAGCTTAAACCACACAATATGACTCCATAGTACAATTACAACTACTTAACCAAAGCTTGCGAACAGATGAAATGCACAAGTAAAATTTTTTCACCATACTCTCATTGACTGGTGCATGTGAAACCAGCGCTACTTCTTAAATTTAGGTTGTGGCTATATGAGTTTTGCTGGTCCACTTCTCTTCTGCATCTCTGTAAATGAGGATGCTATATACATTGAACTAAACAACAGGGTTTAAGGTTTTATGATCTTTTGTAGTGTTTTCTATTCTTTTTCTTTTTTTTTATGCTTTAATTCTCATAGATAAAAATGTGGTTGAATGGACGCTAAATCGAAGTTTTCTGATGCAACCCGTTTTTGTCATCAAGATGAGATCATGCATTTTGATCAACCAACAGTATTTTTGTCAACATGTTGCACTAGAATGAATCCATTAAACCCCAAGCTAATAAAACACAATGTGTGAGTGTAGTTTAATACATAAAGTCACACGTCTCTGTTTTAGATTATGCAGTGCTGTATTTTTATTTATATATATATATATATATATATAGTAACTGGTTTTACTGTAAGCATACTGTCAGTGGACTTTACATGAAAAGAGAAGTAGCACTATTCTTTAGGATATGATACTAGGTGAGAAACATCACACATGTACTTGCTATTTCTCTAAAACTTGAAACATTATTTAGGCATTAGTCTCACAAAAGCTTTTTTTTTTTTTTTTTTTAATATCCATGGCTTTTTTGCTACATTTTCTGCATATGTTATTAAAAATGATTGATTATTAAAATAAGTATTTAACAAATATTGTCCAATGATTGTCTTTAATGTGTATTGATTGTCTGAGAATTAAAATTTGTTTATAGTTTAAACACAAGTGATGTCTTATATTTCGTGCTGTATAAACATTATAAGAGCCTCACCAGTGCTTTGATACAATTCTAATGATGTGATGCATCAATTTTTGCAATTAACTAATAACGACGAATTTACAGCAGATAAAGAGTTTATGCACTATGTAGGAGAGACATATAAATCGGACTCATGGACCATTTTGTGTAATAATAAAAAAAAACATTTTCAGTGTAAGTAATTTTTGTAAAGTACTTTAACTGTAGCACAATGTTGAGTTTTTTTCTTTTCCTAACTAGCTTCATTTTTTTAAAGATGCGATGAGTTTGAAAGAGCCGCAGATATGCTACATCTTGGACGCGGTACTGTTCATCTATGGGATTGTTCTCACTGTCCTGTACTGCAGAATGAAGGTACTGTGTGTGTGTGTGTATATATTTTGTATTGAGTATTGAGTACATGTACAGTAAATGTTTTTTTCATTGGTCTTATGAAGTATTCTAATTTGTTGAGATAGTGAATTGGTGAGTTTTTGTTAAATGTGAGCCAAAATCATCATTGAATTTGTTTAAAACTAGTCTAAATCTCATAAAATATGCCTGATTTGAGTGTATGTCATCCTTAAACTATTTGGTAAACGCTATTAGATTTAAGCTATTCATTTTATTACAAACCATATCTTTGTCTTATATATACAGGGGCTGGACAAAATAATGTGAATAGGCAGTATTTTTTATTAAGGTGTTTTGCCACCATTTGCCTTTAATACAGCTTCCAACAGCATTAACTGATTCATACAGCTTTGTAATGGTCTCTATTTGATCTGCAGATATGTTGGAGAAGGGAATCGGTGTCTAACTTTTCTCTTTAAAACTGTCCACATATTACAGACAAAGAAAATATAATCACAGTGTTTGTCTATCACTGTTGTCTACAAATGATAACCTCTATATAAATGGGTTTTCACATTATTTTGTCTACTCACACACACACAAATATATATATATACACACACACATTCTTTTGTAATGTAATATATACATAAACATTATTATTATTATTCATTTATTTAATCCATTCATTCATTGGCAGATGCGAAGTAAACAATCAGAAAGCTATTCAGGGGTAAGACTTTATCTATCTATCTATCTATCTGTCTGTCTGTCTATCTATCTAGTTTAGCATATTATATCTTTTTCAGAAAACCCTTATAAAATTTAAAATATAAATAAATAATAAAACTGCTAGAAACAATGTGCTGTAATGTGCGACGTACAAAACCAGCTGATGGCCAGTGCACTCTGAGACCAGCAAATTACATTTATGCGTGTTAACTATTACTATCCTTAAAGTAACCCAAATGTGAGCAACATAAATTTCACAAATTTCATAAGACTCAATCTTATTTCCAAAATGATCTGCTTTTGCTAACCGTCCCTCTCCTCCCCTTTCACACTTTTACATCCTGTCTTGAACTGTGTGATGCCTTTTTAAAAATGATTATATGTGTGTCTGCTTTTCAGCATGAAACCTTTCACACAATGTATGTACTCTGCCTGTATGTGGCCTTTTAATGTTTTTCATAATTGACACATTACGCTATATATACACTCTTAAAAAAATAAAGCTTCCAAAAGAGGGTTTTTGCAGGATGCCATAGAAGAACAATTTTCGTTCCCCAAAAAAAAAACTTTCAGTCAGCAGTTTCTTTAAAAAAACATTTATTTTGTTAGTGTGAAGAAACTTTTTTTTTTTTACTACAAATAACTTTTTGTCCAGTGGAAAAGTTCCATGGATGTTAAAGGCTCTTCACAGAATCACAAATGCAAACTAAACACCTTTATTTTTAAGAGTGTAATATGATAAAAGAATACTGTTTGAACGTAATTTGGCCATATGTGACATGACACTCTTCTTTCAAAAACCTCTGAAGCCCTGCGCGTACACACTTCTTTTTTTGTGAGTATTTGTATTGTACAGGCTTTCTAATGTGTTTTTTGTTTCTGATTGTTTACAGAAGAAAGATGCCGGCGAAGGGGTTTATGAGGTATTTTTGTTGTGTTGTGGTTGTTTAATACTCTGCTTAGCCATAGTTTAGACCTTTCTTGTGTGTATGTTCATATTCTTTATTTGTTCTTTATTGCGTTCCACTGTATGATCATTGAAAGATACACAAAAACTGGTTAACAGACACACTAACATCATTTAATCATATATATATATATATATATATACTGTATATACATACACATATAAATATACATACACGCATATATATATACACATACATACACATATATATATATATATATACATACACACACATACATATATATATATATATATTTGAATATGTATACATATATTCACACACACATATATATTATTCATTTATATTATTCATATTCATATTATTATGCAACTCTTCGAACGTAAAAGAATATTTAGATGCAGTATAAGATGCTGTTATATAGTAAGTACTATAACATGCAGCAATTTCATAGCATTTAACTGATGTACATTACATTTCTGAAGCCTTGTGGTTGATCTGGTGAGCTTCAATTGAAATGGCGCTGAATCTCTGCCACATCCGTTTTGTCCTTCTCTCTCCTCCACACCTCAGGGTCTCAAGCCTCATGATCAGGACACATATGAGACCATCAAAATGAAAAAAGGAAATAAATAAGACTCGAAGCAAAAGGAGAGAAGCAAGTTTCTGGACTTAATACCACTGTCATCTTAAGCATCTACCTACTGTTAATAAGCTGTCAAACAATTACAAGAAGAATATGTTTTGTTTATACTGTAGTAACTTTTGTTAATCACTAACATCAGGCTTTTTGTTTGCTGTTTGTTTGGCAGACGGACTCCAAATAGAGATAATTAAATAATCAAACAGAATGCCAAAGAAACATGTATTTTTGTATGATCATTCTGCTGGTTTAATCATTTAAATGTTTTAATTAATGTATTTTCCTGTTCGCCTTAAAACTACATTTTAAGCTTCTAACATGTATACCGCAGCTGCGTGTCACTATTTTTCGAGGCTAACTTCCTGCTCTAGCTTCTATAGCAACATGCCACCAACCCCACAGAGTCCGAGTCATTTCCTGTTTTAAAGAGTACGAGTGGTCTGACAAAAAGTGCATCTGACTTTGACCACAGGTGTGACAGATGGAAACAGAGCTGTGTTTGATTGTATATGTGCGAAGGACTTTTTTTCCCATTCGTTTAAGAATAAGCTCTCATATTGTTTTGCTCTGTGGCAATAATAGTTTTTTTCTGCTACATGTGGCATTTGAGAAAACAACTATATATGAAACAAAAATTATATACCACTGATGGTCAGAATTTACTTTAAATTTATTATAAGAGTAAATTAAATAAATTAAATATATATACAGTGGGTACGGAAAGTATTCAGACCCCCTCACTGTGTTTTTCTTTTCTTTTTTCTTTCAATATCGAATACTGTCATCATGAAATGGTCTCATTTCCTTTCCATAAAATAATCTGTTTTCAGTTCTTACATCAATAGATTTGCAGATAGTAGTGATAAGCATTTTTTGTCAAAATTAACCAGAATTAAATTTGTATTTTTTATTAATTGTTTTTTATTATTTTCTTTGCTATTTAATCAGCTTGTAATTCAAGCACGCTTACAGTAAGTAATATGAAAAATAATGAGAGTACTGTATTTAGACATGGTCTTCTTTATTGCAAAATTGTCTTTTTTCAGTCTTACATCAATAGATTTGCAGACAGTGGTGATGACACACAATCCTACTATCTGTAAAATAAATACAACTGTCAAAACAGTGCCTACAATTCTAATCTTTTATAATTAAATTGTCAGGTTTGATTTTATTTTGTCAAATTTAAAAAGAATTGTAAGAATATAAAAAGAATATATTTTGACTTTGAAAATTAAAAAGAATAAAATGTTTATTTGTTATGAATTATTTCCTGATATTTTCTATATTATTCGAGCATCTTGTAATGTAATCCCATTTACAGTAATTAAGACGAAAACTCAAAAGAGTAAAATTACTGTATATAGACAGTAAGATTACATAGTCTTCTTTTTTCGAGACAAAATACTTGTAATTCATGCTGAAAAGTTACTGTGTAGCATGTCTGAATGTCTGTATGTAATCTATCAACAACACTGGAATCAAATAATAATCAAGCGTGATGCTTCTTACCACTACAAATATTATTTGGTTAAGAAGATTTCATTTGATTTTTCACAAGATTGTCACAACAGCAGTAAATGCACTACATGTTTTGCCTACTGAGTACATAGTTGACATCCACATCTAGTCTAGTCACCTTTATTTCTATAGCACTTTATACAATACAGATTGTTTCAAAGAAGCATCAAAGTAATAAGCAGGAAAATAATAGTAAAGCTCATCAATTATGAAACCAGTTCAGTTCAGCTAAGCAACTCTACATAAGACAATAGTGTTGTTATTCAGCTCAAGTCAATTCAATATCAAGCTTTTTTTTGTTCTCATCCAATAGTACCAGTTCCGTCAAATTGATAATAGTAACAGCAAAAATCATTTTAATTTGAATTGATTTAAATAGTGTTTGTAGCACGGAGTGCACGCTTTGTTCAGTTAAGTGTATTTTTGGGATAAGCATCACTCATAATATCGACACCACTGTTTGTATTCACCATGTACTAACTGCGAATCAGAAAATATAGGAGCGGCTCTCTAGAGATGGGTAATCACTGGAAACTCACAAACAAGTATTATGGTAAGTATAGTACTTTTAATTAAATTTTTCCCCAAATGTATGCAATAGGCCTTTTTAAAGAAAATAATATAGAGAATAAACAAACAATGTAAATTAACAGATAAACACCAAATTTCAATATGGAATTGAAATGAAAATTAAACTGGCTTTGAGTACTCAATTAAGTCTTTGGTGGTATACACTTAGTTACCCACACAATGAATTAAGCTCTTATTTTCAGGTATGCAACCCACATTCACTGTACAAAAAATAAATATTCCTTAAAGAATCCTCTTTTGGAATTAGATCACAGTTCAGTTCAAATCTGTCCAAAACAGTTCTGATTTCAGATAAAGTTCAGATTCTCAATCACTTATCTCAACTCCAACGATGTAATAGTAATTCACTGTCCACAGTGTATCCAGAAATAATTTCCTCTTGAATAGAAAAGCGAAAGTTTCAGTTCTTGTAAATCTTCCTAACTTTTGTCTTCTTCTTCCTTCAGATTCAAGCTGGGTGGCTCGCCATTAAAGAAACATCCAAAGCAATCCACGTAAAAAAACTCAAAAATAAAATCCTTCCGAACTAAAATAATTACTGGATGTCAACAATTTAAATATCCCCTCTTGAATTACAACAAGAATTGAATCTTATTTAACTTTTTGAAAGTATTTTTTCCTTAATTAGGAGCTCTAACTCAAGTTCGCGATCTTCTCCGTGGCTTCCAGATTCTGCTGACTCATCAGAGAGAGAGTGCCTAAACAGCGTCTCATTGGTCAACTACGTCATACCCAACTTTTTCTTATTTTTTCAATTTTCACTATTTATTTACAATTTACTTAGTTTAAATGAACAATTATATAGCTATGAACTTTTAATAATATCACAAACTATTTATAATAATTATATACAAAAATAATTGTAAACCCGGAACAAAAGTAAGTCCGGGTTACATCCTCCCCTCCTAACTAGGCATATATCCTCGTATCCTAAGTTAAGGTAACTCAATTCCTACACAATCTTTACTTGAGACTTCTCTATTAGCTCACTTGATTCTTCAATACCACTCAAAGCAGCAACAAAAGCGGTATTTAATCCTTGGAACAAGGACGGAACCACTTGAATTAAGGGATTTCCAAAACTTGGATACGTAAGTATCTTGGGTTTCATTCTTTCTCTAGTAAAACGTCTGCACTGATTTTCCACATCTACGGTATCGTCTTCAGCCGAAGTACGATTAACTTCGTTACACTCCCTTTCAGCACCCTCATTAGTAACCATTGGGGTTCCAGGAGAACAAGTCAACTCAACAGATTCTGCAACATCAGGTAAGTTTTGAACAGAAACTTCAACCGGTAAGTGTTCTATTGCCCTTTCAGGTGAAATAATTTCTTCTTCATTACTCACAGGTAAGGAACTTTCTGAAGTTACAACAGGTAAGACATTTTCTTGTCTGGGTAAGTCATGATAAGTTACAAACCTCATTTCCTTAATTGGACAAGTTCTATACACAGAATCAGAGGTTTTATCATCAATTTCTGAATTGACATTCAGCTCTTCTGACTCTCGCACCTCAAGACTTGACCTAGTCTTAGGCTTAGAAACTGATTTTGGCTCAACTGAATTTACGGTTTCAGAAACTGGCAAAAATCCCCAAGGAAGTAACAGGTCTCTATGAAACGTACGAAACGGACCATCCTTTGTTTCTGGACGAACAGTATAGACAGGCAATTTGTCTGCACACTTCACCACAACATAGACCTCAGACTCCCACTTATCGGCGAGTTTATGTTTCCCACGTATTCTAACATTTCGCACCAAAACACGGTCACCCACCTCTAGGGTAGACTCGTTCACACTTTTATCAAAGCGGACTTTGTTTCTTTCTGCAAGTTTCTGCATATTACGCACAGCAATTTCATAGCTCTCTTTTAAGTGAGACTTCAACTGCTGCACATACTGCGAATGTGATGTCTGCTGATTACTCTCTCTCAGCAATCCGAACACCAAATCAAGCGGCAATCGAGGTTGTCGGCCAAACATTAACTCATATGGGGAAAAATCTGTACTCTCATGCTTCGTACAGTTGTACGCATGGACTAAAGGTTTAACAAACTCTTTCCAGCGACTCTTATCTTTTTCCTCCAGGGTTCCCAACATACTCAGCAACGTGTGATTAAATCGCTCTACTGGGTTCCCATGAGGATGATAAGGTGTGGTACGAATTTTCTGGATAACAGCTATTGCACAAAGCTCTTTGATCGTACGCGATTCAAAATCTGGTCCCTGATCAGAATGTAAGCGTTCTGGGAAACCATAATGTACGATAAAGTGTTCCCATAAGCTTTTAGCAACTGTTTTGGCTTTTTGATTGGGCGTCGGTATAGCAACAGCATATTTGGTGAAAAAATCAGTAATCACCAGAATATCCCGTGTGTTGCTTTTGTCCGGCTCAAGGGAACGAAAAATAAGGCTTTTCTCCGAACACATCGGTGACAGGTCCTTACTTTGTGTTCTACCTCAGAACTCATCCTCGGCCAGTAAAACCGAGACCGGACCAAATCCAGGGTTCTCTCCATGCCCATATGACCCATCTGGTCATGTAATTCACTCATAACAAGAGATCTGAGTTCCTCAGGTAACACCACTTGGTAAGTTATAGAGTCTCCATCCTGTCGTCTTCTGCATAAAATTCCTTCTCTTATTTCAAGGCGATCCCACTCTCTCAAATAGAAAGGGAAATCAGGCACTTCTTTTCTGACAGCCGGTGGGGTTTTTTCCCCAGATTCCAGGTACACAAGTACTTCCCTGATAACTGGATCAGACTTCTGCTTCTCAGTCAACTCCTCTTTCATCAAGTTAGGTATAACTGAAGAAGATCCAGACAAACTGTCCTCCTGTTCATAGCAGTTTGGTACCGCATCTGGGTGAATGGCAAGAGACATAACCAAGGAATCAGCAGGCTCGTTGTTCTGCTGTACAAAGTGTTTTTCACATATAGCCTCCATCACATCAGTATCAGTGACACCAGGAACATTAGCTTCAGCTGTGTGATATTGCACAAACTTCTCGATCCTTTCGATTTCCTTGCTTGACATTTGATCTTCAGACAACTCTCCATGTGGCCTTCTGGACAAGCTGTCTGCATCAATGTTCTGCTTTCCAGCTCTGTACTTCAGTTTGAATGAAAAGGTTGATAAAGCAGCAAGCCATCGGTAACTAACAGCATCCAGCTTGGCTGTTGTCAACAGATAAGTCAGGGGATTGCTATCAGTGACAACAGTAAATTAACTGCCATAAAGAAAGTCATAAAATTTTTCCGTTACCGCCCACTTAAGAGCCAAGAATTCAAGTTTGTGAGCTGGGTAACGGGATTCACTGCGAGATAGCCCCCTGCTGGCATATGCAATTACTCGCTGCTCGCCATCCTGCTCCTGGTACAGAGCAGCCCCCAATCCAGAAGTGCTGGCATCTGTATGAAGGATATAAGGAAGTTTAGGGTTAGCAAAACCCAAGACAGGAGCGGTGGGGAGCTTAGTAATTAAGGTCTCAAATGCCATCTGACAAG